TTTGCACAGATTTAACTTCTACTGTTGTATGCTTACGTGCTTACGAAGTCACACTGGTAAAACAATTATTTAATGTTGCTCGTCAATTGGTGTTTGAGTTCAAGTGTGCTGTGCATTTTCTCAACACATTGTGGTGGTGTCTAACTAGGTTAAACGTCAATTAGTGTTTAAAATTTCAACACTACCGAAAAGTAAAGCAGCTGCACACCATATGGTTCCAATAGATTTGTGTGTGTACAAGTGTGCAGAATTTAAACTGTGCAAAACGTTTAAAATGTGCACACCACGCAAGTGTTCAACTTGAGTTAAACACCATGTAATATGTTTAAAATCATAACTTCCACACGTTGGTGTTTAAACTGTGAACACTTGTTTTACCAGTGCAAACTCAAACACCGGCACATTCACGGTAAAAACAATGCCTTATTTTTGAGGGAAAAAGGAAAAACTTTGAGAAACCCCCATAGTTAGCGAAAACTCCTCAGATTTTGAGGAAGTCTCCTCAAAGAATATGCGGTAATTTCCTTGGTTTTTATTCAACCGGCACGAGTGAATTTCTTAAATTTTGAATGATGTCGCATTTTCCTCACAATTTTCATTTGTGGTCCCATGGCCGCTCACCTGAGCTGGACGAGGTGAAACGTTTCGGAGTCCAGAGACATAGACCGTATCACTGATTCTTATTAGTCATAATTAGCATCATTGTTTTGCACAGGCTGCTGCAGGGATAGCAATCAGAGAGCGATATCAATAACCATCGCCCGATACTCTGGGCGCGGCAATATCCCCGCTATTCTCTCTTTTCGCCCCTCGGCTCGTCCTGTGTGTGGCGGCATGGGGGTTGTGAGTGGGAGCACACACACTGCACACACAAGTCTCTGACTCTCTCATTATCAGTCGCTCGCTCACACAAGAAAATGGTTCCATTGAATTAACGTAGAATCCCTTCGATCAACGGAAAATTAACCGATGGAAAGTATGATAGAATTTTCCCCAACTTTAAGCGAGCATTACTCTATGGGAATTTTCCCCTCAAATCAATGAAATCCCATTGAGTCAAGAAATTTATTTTACCACATTTTCTTTCGATTGAATCAACGGGACCGTTTTTTGTGTAAAATGCCCCTCGCTCGTACTCGTGTCTTTACTTGAAAAGGATATCATACCTGCTGTATCGCGACTGTTTCTTATGCTGCTTGATTCGCTCTTTGTCTCGACAACTTTACCATATTTTCCGCCAACAGAACACAAAATGCAACTCGTTCTGCGACGCCCGACCGCAGCGCCACCGGAATGAGTGGAGTGGCAGAAGGAGTTAAAGAGAGAAGAGAAAGAGAGAGAGAGAGAGCGAGTGAATGAGTGAGTGAGTGAGTGAGTGAGTGAGAGAGAGAGAGAGAGAGAGAGAGAGAGAGAGAAACGTGGTACAGGGAGAAGCGCACAGATTTATGCTAGCGAGTGAGTGAGGAGGAAGGACCTTGCCTCGATGCTGTACATGGGCATGGCAGGCCAGCCTGCAGGACTCTAGCGTCCTGCTGCAGCGCGGCGGGCCAGCCACAGACCAGCCCGACATACACCCGGCCGTCCCCGTAGCAATGAACGCAGTAATTATGTATCGAGCTACCGTGCAGTCCCCAGGCTTATTGGCATATATGTGGAAGTCCATAACTGAACAACAACAAAAAAATATATATAAAAATAAACAAACCCTCCACAAACCCTCACACGTAAGCGCTCGCTCTGTGCTATTGAGCGAGGTGGACTTTGCCCTCTGGTAGAGACAGTCTTGGGGATAGTATAAAAATCAATACAAAATGAAACGTATTCGAAGACACGTTCGGCGAAAAGGACCCGATCGACGGCTGGGTAGTCAAACTCAGGGTTCAGACTGGCTGAGATCGTCGTTTGTTGATCGACTAGTAAATTGTAACCCTATTTTTCATCTTGAATTTACAGTAGGTACAAGTACCAGTTGTCCCCTGTCCCTCTTCCATCTCCATACACTTAGAAGAGTGACACTCTGCGGGGTTTGCCATTAAGCTTTGGACACTTGAAAGTGTTCAAAGTATACTGTGTTCAAAGCTAAATGGCAAACCCCAGAGTTTCACACTTTTAAGTGTTCAACTTGACTGTTAAACACTTTTTAGTATTCAAATATCGAATCAAACACTGAAAAGTGTGCCATGTAGTGTTGAGCCATTGCATGTGCACGCTAGTTGCACACTTATTTTTCAGTGTAGCTCTGGCGTTACCATCACTTTTGTCAGGGCGTGCCGGCCGCCGGCCGGTGCCCAGCCGGTGCCCAGTCCACCCAACCGCGATCTGCTTGGTAAGGGTCTATAATCGATAAAAATAACGTGACTTAAAATAGAGGATTGGGGCGGATCAGATGATGGGTGGGAGAGGGGATGGGAAATAGAGCACGCGGCATCGTTCCCCTTCACAGTTTATTTCGGGTCATGGAGGTGATGGGTGCTGGAGCCGTGCGTGGGCGCGGCGGCGGGCGGCAGCGGGTGGCGGCGGGCGGGGCACCCTACTCGTACTTGCCGTAGGTCCTGCCGCTACGGGTGAACTTGTAGGTGGGACGGCGTGCCTCGACGGTCACGCTCAGCAAAGGGCCCTTGCCCTTCTTCCCCGAGCACCACATGCATCTGCACGATCACAATAACAGCGAACCCGAACCGGTCGTGTAAAAAAAAAAAAAAAATCTCTCCTTGGCGGAATACCTACGTCAGGCTGACTATGGCGATACCCAGTATGACGGTACATTTGGCTTCGAAGCAAGTGTCGACGGGCAGGGGTTCGACCCAGGACAGGTAGATCTGGAACACGTCGTCAGTAGCGCGTCACGGGGGACCCGCAGATCACGCACGAACGGCACAGGTTGTATCAGGTGGCTGATTAACCCCGCTCACTTCTGAAGTTATGCTATACCGCACGCACGAGTGCGGAAGGGTTGCCTACTCGCTGGGCCCGCAAGGCGCCGAGGACAGGGGCGATAGGCAAGTCCGCCCGCACTCGTTCGTGCGGTGCAGCATAAACTACAGAAGTGAGCGGGGTAACTCAACCACCTGGTGCCTGGTACTTCCATCGTGGTACTCACGTCTGACAGGTACTGGAGGGTCATCGTGAGTCGAGTGTGAATATGTGTTTCTTTTTCTTGTAAATGGTTTCTTTTTTTTATTTAAGTGGCCGAACTTTACTTGAGAACTTTCATGACTGGAATTTATTGTTTATGGTGCTCGATGGAAATCGCACCATGGCGCCACGGGCGCCGCTAGGAGGGGAGGGGGTCGCCCTGGCGACCGCGGACAATAGGCCGCTCGCCGGCCGTCAAGCTGCCGGCCCGTCAGGGGTCAGCCAGCATGGCCAGCGCCAGCATTCGCTCGCCATTTCGGCACCCCGGCCTGGCGCGCCGAGGAAGGTTAAGGCCAGTTGCCTCGCTTCACGGTCAGCGGGGAATGACCACGTCTAAAGTTCACGGTGGCCGGCCCAGCCTCGCCCCGCGCGTCACCGCCGACAGCGACCGCCCTCCCCGCGTCACAGCCGCACGATGGGTGGCCTACCCGTGCGGGTGCCGAGCAGTGCCGAGACCCGCCCCGCACCGAGCCTCTCGCGCTCTCGCGACCCCGCGGGGCTCGAGGGAGGATTGATTGAATGATTTTTAGCAGATGATACCTTAAATATTTTCACTAAATATAAAGAATACATAAGTGACTTTAAGGCGTCAGCTAGCTATAACTCTCGATCAGCAGGACAGAGAACTAAGAGCAAAACCAGAAATTAATTTTTGTGCGCTGGGGGAATGGTGTCAGAGTGTCGCGCTAGACCCCTTGCTTTGCCCTGCCTAACAATACTGCGCAGGATGGGCTCCTTGTTCCTTCCCTGGCTAACAATACGGCGTCACCCTGCCCTCCCCGATTGTCCGCCTCTACGCCACTACGCCACCGAATCGCAAGATTGCAAAGCAACCAAAAACAAATACATAGCAGCTAATAAGAGAAAAAATAATAACATTGCCCTATTCATAAATTTGTATCATCTGCTTTCAAGATCGATTCTTGATTGAGATTTTTATTTAAAGTATCGTTCAATACGACTGAAAATTCCCGCTGGTAGTATACAATACCGCTCTCTGGTTTGGTACATTTAAACAATATTAAGCTTGAATAGGAGGGGCGGGGGAAATAGCGTATAGCGTGTGTTCGGTTTCGGGGAGGATGGGAGGGGCTCGCGTGTGGGCGACGTTGTGTTCGGTGGTGGCGTGGCGCGGTGCCGGCGTCATGTTAGGCCGACCAGAAGGGAAGCCGCCCGCCCGCCGCCGTGAGTATCCGCCCGTCGCCGTCAGAGCTTCCGTCCGGGCTAGGGGCGGAACAAGACCGTCCCTACCTCGCGCACCACTGTGGCGGTGGCCGCGAGGTTACAGCTGACATTTTCAGTTTTTCCTTTCTTCCCTTAATTTTGTATTATTATTCGGTCCTTGCACCCATGGTAGGTCCATGTACGACGAGCTAGCGATTGCTCGTTCTGATCTCGTTGCCGCTGGTTCGATCCATTTTCGAGGCAGGCAAGAATAAAAAAGATTCACAGTGAATGACCTACATAACGATTTATTTCTTTCCGAACGACTATTCCCCTACTATACACCGTGAACATAATGCAAGACACGCCAGTAACGTTTTAATAGTATTGTAATCTCAGAAATAGTTTTCACACGCATTACAAAAAAATCTATTACAAAACTATCGAACTACACGGTATCCATAATTTACGTATAAAATTATTAGCGTGACATGAGCATTTATACACCGATTAGTGTAGCAATTCATTTATCTAAACAAACAATCCGTTTTTCTTACGGTACGCAAATTTCCTCTTTTCGATCGACCCATTCTTTTTAGTATTGGGAATATTTACCTTATTGATTCTGCATTCCATAACATTATCACCCGAAGTAACAACAGAGGGAGCAAGAACGCTGCGATGTGATTAACATGCATTCAGGAACAAAACATGCCCCATTTTAGTTTGAACACATAGTTTGAAGGCATCGACGTTTTAAACAGTTTTCAGGACTACAGACGCGCAAGAAACGAGGAGTTAAAGAAGCAAAGCCGAAAATACCTCCTCGTTAACATGACAGCGACCCGAGTGAGAATACAAATAGTAAGTTGGCGTAGTACGAGAGGGAAAGTACAGAGGGGCGAAATAGCACCAAAAAATAGCGTACTGTACGGTGTGTACAAAACCGTGGAAAAATAGAGATTACAAAGAAAAGCGCAGACCAGAGTGCTGACCAAAAACTAGACGTTAGATGTCACGAAAGCTGCTTGTAACTATCCAATAATTTGACAGCAGGGCTAATAGACCGAGATGTATATTTTTTCTTCTTTCGGAAAGAGGCCATAGAATTGAATTGTGTGCACCACTCGTCAAGTTGGAGATAAGAAAGACTTTGGTTTAAAGAAACTTCTCAAACTAATAGCAACTCTGGACAAATGGCGGGGATGCCTTCGTCGAGGAAGCGGGCACAGTACACAATGTGCTCAAGCAGCGTATAGCGTAAGGATATCAAGAAGAGCTTTGACGGTCCAACTGCAGTATAGTTAAAACAATTTTATTTTTCTACAATAACAAGAGCGAGATGAGATTTTCAGGGGAAAAACTAATAGTTTTAAGAAGAAATGGGCACCAAGAAAACGAAAGAAACGTCCAACAAGGAAAGAGACAGTACTATCTACACTGTTAAAAATTTCGTACCTAGTTACTTGAACAATTTCAGCAGATTTCGTAAGTCCAAAAGTTGACGTGTGGATGTCAAAACGATCGTACATCGTCTTTGTGCTCTTGGTCACTATCTAGTGTGGTACGGTACGGATGTTTCGTGAGTTACGCTAGTGCTTCCACGTCATTATTAGGCAAGTAAGTGATTATTTTCCACAGTGTTCCACAGTGTTGCGTATCAAATTTTCATATAAATTTTTAACAGTGTAAGTGGTACAGTTGAAGTGGCACAGGCAAATTTTACACCAATAATCATATACTGTTCCTTCAATTTCTTCATAAATTATACGATCTGTGCTCAGAAACATTGCACTTCGCTCCTTCAGTTGTTCATCTACATAACTAACAAGTCTTAACCAACATATAAAAATAAACTTTCAAATACTTAAGACAATAAACGAAATAATTGCTTCTCCCAATGCAGACCCAGAATTTTGTGGGTAAAAACTATAAATTAATAAAAGTAAGAGGCGAAGGAAACTCTTGAGTCCTAAGAATTGGAAACGAAATGGAATATTGGATTGACATTATTCGGATCATCTAGAGAGCCATATGAACACAATATAGTCAGGAATTTGCTGCCGAAGCTCTCATTTCTCTCTGTTAGAGGAAAAATATTGTCTTACAAAACCAGAAATACATCCAGATTATTAACAGCTGCGTAAAAGGTGGAACTGTACTTGAAAGCCACTTGTCGAGCAACATTTTCTGCGTCAAGTCTTAATAAATGTTGAACATTTTTACGTGGTATGGCCACTACACAATGATTTACCGAATCACTGATTGTCGTAAAATAAACAATAATACACTAACTGTATGTTTCTTGTTATCAGACAAAACACGGGCAAGCGCATTGGGTCACAGCGCGCGTGCAAGGATGAGGAACTAGGTAACACAGTGATTGTAAAGAATTTAACTACACAATGTACTACCGAAAAGACTGACTCGTATCACTAATTCCTACATCAAATTCTCCTTCCCCTTCAGATCGTGGACGGTTATACGAATCGCCTGCAGCATACCTGATCTTGAAACGGAGATTCCAAAGACCCTGTGCAGCAGTCAGGGTGACACGTGTGTCTAGGCAGAATCATGACATAAAATTTGCCTACAGTGTCACATCTCATGGTTTCCTCTCACTTCGACCACTGAATTACCACCACGCCCGCACTGCCGTGAAGATCTTGATCTGATTAGCCAGAGTCGATATGATTCACCGTATAGAAATAAGTGATAGGGTGCGTCTTTAATCCACAAGTGTCATACAAGAAGTGAAATTTCAGTCAGACTTTCTGGACTTTGGCGACATTGTTTTCTGACTCACACTAGACACCCGACAAAAAGCGGCAGGGGGATGCCAGTGAAATGACGAGAATATGAATGAACATACCATGATTGTCTGTATAGCAAATATTACATAAGATGAAATATGTTAAAATTCTTCAAAACTAGTAATAAAAACATGGAAAATCCGTGAAGCACCTGAGTGCGCATGCAAGTTTAATCGATTGGAAAATGTATAAAAAGTTAAGAAATGAGAGATGACTTAATTTTATTCACATCTTCTGTGCAGGTACTTCACAGTTTCCTACTCATTTATATAGCAAACCCATGATCACACAAAATCTCTATGAAGGAACTTCTCCTATCGCCTAGGGAAGTAACGGAGCTTAGGGCCGGGGAGGGGAGGCAGCAACTCCACTTTGTTTATTCTGTCTTCCATTGCCGGACTCATCACCGAGGCATTGAACAAGAGCGTCGACCTAGCGCTGCTCCCCGGAGTCATTCCCTAACTGAGAGGAGGCCTTTTCGATGGAAACAAACGCACGAGGCCAGCTTGTGCACCATTAAACCTGAGCAATAATCGGAATGTAGAACAGGAAAGAGACTGCAGGGACAAACACTAAATTCACTCACTGTTTAGCGCAAACGAAACAGGATAGAATAATGCACATAGAAACATAACTCCCTCTTCCCTTTCTTTCTTTCTCATACACAAACGCACCAGGCATACCCACACACATACACACACGTGCACTCTCATAATACACACATTAGAGTCACAGTCTCATCTTAAATGTGAAAAATAAGGAAAGTTAAAGAAGAGAGGCGAAGAAAGTCGCCTAGATCGGCCATAAGAAACATTACTTGAAAATAGAAAAGTCGCTCAAGCTTAGTCTACCGCTTACCGCCGTCCTAAAGATTGATAACTTTTCTCTTTTTTGCATGGAGAAATTGACGTTTTATCTATAAAAATGGTTCGCAGTTTTGGATACACGGCGAGAGATGTATACCCTTGATGAGAAAGTGATGTGGGGAAATGTGTGTTTGTGTGAGTGTATAGCCAGACTTAAATTAATATTTATGACGTAGTACGCTGCAGTCGCACAGTCGGCGCAGGGTAAAAGGAGACAACGTCTTCTTTAAGAGTCTTTGAGGGACAAAAACTTACAGCTAAAACATTGAACAACATGAATTTAGAATCAACAATTTGAAACAACAAAGCCTGTCGGGCGAGGAAACCCGATGCGAGGCCGAGGCCAGTGCTTTAAGCTCGAGCCTACCAATAGATCTTATAAACTAACTAATTAACAACAAAACTCTTTACAAATTGGGTGCATAAAGGACGAGTACATTATTGAATAAAAATTAGTGCTGCTAATTACGAACATAACTTCTATTCACGCAGTCACCCCGGCGCAAAATGACGTTAAGATTAAAAAAATCACACTGAACATTTATCATTTTATGAGGAACACTTTTGCCATCTTATCAATATGCGTCAATATGACGCAACAGAAACTTTACGCACAAAGTTTTAATCTGAACTTAAGTAACTTCAGGGAAAAATTTGTACATCTACGAACTATAAGTCAAAACGCCTTTTTATCTACCGGGACGAACACAACTCGTCGAATCGCACACATGCATAGCCCCACAATAGCAAACGGCCGGTATCCGTCGGATATTGTGGGCCGGTTTCCATACCGCACTTCCCCTACCCCTGTCTGACGGTGAAGACCAGTGGAACCTGCGTGGAGGAGAGGCAAGACAACAGTGACAGGTCGGCAGACGGACGGAGACGGACATAGAGAGACAGACGAGACACACAGAGTAGACAAGACGAGCAGATAGAGACCACATCCTCAGCAGATTCATCAGCAAACGACCGCCAGCCAGGCGCGTCCCCCCTCCCACCCCCGTCTGTCCGCTATGCTCGTGATCGGCAGCACCGTCCCGGTGGCAGTCACAACTCATGCAGGATGAGGGCCTTGACGTCCTCCTCCTCCTCGCAAGCCCGCCGGCCGTCCTGGCGCGACCGAGCCCCCCACGACGCGAGGCCGCCCCGCCAATCGTTCCACGCGCACCAGGGCGGCCAGAGGCGTGGCGGGGGCGGCAGTCTGAGGTTCAGACGCTCCTCTGAGGCCCCGGCCCCCGCGGCCGCGGGCTCGGCCGTGCACCCGTCAGGCAGGTCGCCGTCAAGGCCGCCGTCGAGGCCGAGGTCCTGGGCCCCAGAGGGCTGCTCCTAGTCGTCCATGTCCATGTTGAGGAGCTCGGCCTGGAGGCGCGCCTTGTTTCCACGGCAGCACACCGTCAGGAAGAAGAAGCGCACTAGCAGTCTGAAGTCCGGGCTGAGCGTGAGCAGGATCACGCCCTTCCAGAACGAGTTGAGCACGCCCAGCCACACGAGTGCAAAGTGCAGGAAGGGCACCTGCAGGCGCGAGGCCGTGAAGTGTTCCCAGAGGCGCACGCCGATGTAAGGCGTCCACGACAGCCAGAAGGTGAGGATGAGCACAAAGGACATGATGTGCGTCGGGTTGGAGAGCGCCTCGGCCAGCGCTGTCGCGTACTCCTTGTCGTGGATAGGCACGCCACTTCTGAGTTTCTTGTACATGGTGAAGATGTAGGAGTAGGCGTAGACGATGGTGAGCATGCTCGGGCCGAGCACCAGGATGGCGAGCGTGGCCGAGTACGCCCACATGTCGCCCCAGTTGAGCATGCAGACGTACGCATCGGGGTCGAAGATGGGCGGGTTGAAGCCCAGCAGGGGCGGGCAGCACAGCATGGACATGGAGATCCACGTGAACACCATCCAACACTGGCATCGCGTCCTTGTCTGCAGCGTCTCATAGCGGAGCGGCTTGCGGATGGCCAGGTACCGGTCCACGGCCATCCACATGAAGGTGAACACGGAGATGTTCCACAGCGTGACCTCCAGGTAGCCGACCATCCGGCACACGACATCGCCGTAGACCCACTGCTGCACCACGGACGGGTACACGGACAGGGGGACGATGAGCACGCCCACGAGCAGGTCGGCGACCGCCAGCGACAGCAGGTAGATGTTGATCACGTCTCGGGTGCCTGCAACACAAGGGAAAAGGAGATTATGAGGGAGGAGTGAGGTAATGGTGGCCTGATACGCACGCACGCCTCCTGTGGACGCGAGCAAAGCCTCTCCCTCGTGAGATGGAGCGTGCCCGACGCCCCCCCCCCCCTTCTTCATGACGCCCGTCCATCGGCGGTATCTCGAAACAACAACATTGCGAAAACTCGTAACATCGTGTTTTGCGCCAATTAGAAAACTTCTAACTAGCTCATCCAAAGTTGGCGTGGTAATGAAAGAAAAGGGCCTCGGCAGCGCGGGCCGGGTCGGGTCGGGCCCCCTTACCCCGCATGTTATTGAGAGGCCAGGGAATCGACTTCCTCCCCCGGAGCGCGGCTCGGCTCGGCTGCCTCTGGTCGCTTTGACAAGCAACAGGGGAGGAGTGGCTGGAGGGGAGGGCGATCTCTTATTACTGCACTAATTCTCCCAAGAGAAATGCCCCCTCCACACCCTCTCCGTCTTTTATTTTACGCTCGTGAGCAAAAGTAAACTTCTTGC